AAACCACACATTTGATAAAAAATAAAATAAACTTGCTTTGAAAAGCTGATGACGAGACAGTTGTTTCCTTTGTATTGCAGGGGTCAGTGACATCATTGCATAGGACAAGAAAAATCCTTCCCCTCATCCAGCTAATAAAAATCAACTGCACAAAACAGGTGTAGAAAACCACCCGTACACTTGCAGAGGCAGCATCCACAAAACTCTGAGATCTCCTGGGCTCTGAAACTCAGAGAGACCTGCATTGTGAGGAAAAAGATAGTGAATAAGAGAAGAACTTTGCTTCTTCCCAGGCTCCCAGGCAGTTCCCTCAGGATGGTCCTGTGCTTCCATGCCCCCCTTGAAGAGTCCTAAGCTTTCCAAAAGTTCTACGTGTGTTCACATGGCTGCTTCTTCCTTGAATCCTTGGCTTGACCAATATGGACATGAGTGTGTCTGCAGTATATTCATACTACAATTCCCTGGGCCTGGGCAAACATGGAGGGGCCCAGAGATGCACTGTGAATTTGGGAAGCAAAGTATGGTTAGTGACAAACACCAAGAAATCTTAAATGCAAGTCAATAGATAACAGCTGAATGTGTGCCTCTAAAACCATGACCAGAGGACCTCCTGGCGTTCTCAACAGAGCAACACTGATTGAATAGCCATACCTGGGTCTGACTCACCAGACCCCGCGGAGTGGAGGGGAAGGTCACAAATCTGGAAGCACACTCAGTCCAGTTCTGGACACCTGCCTGTCTGCCCACGAATGACCACTATGGAATCTGAGGCCCACAGCTCAGCCCGGAGGTTATGCCTCTGTGCAAGGCCCAGCAACCACAGCAATCTCCACTCCAGCCGTGGCTGCCATCAGGAAGGCATCTGGTCCCTCCCGCTTGGCCCTCAGTTATGTGGTCACCAGTTATGTGGTCACTCAGTTATGTGGTCACCAGTGGCCATAAATTTCAAACTACTAAATGTTGACCTACTTCTGACTCTCACTGATGGCAGTACCCACCCCCCTTGGGAAACAGCCTTACTCCTGAGTACTCTCTGCCAAGTGAGTTTGCCTTGTCTCTTCCTCCACATCATTATAATTAATAAGCAACAATATCATCCCTCGTGGTTATGCTCTTATTAGGTGTTAACTGGCCCCAGCATCATTATCTCATTAAGTCTTTCCACCTAAATTACTTCATCAGCCTCCCTCCAAAGGAGGTTCACTGCTTTCTGACTGAACGGAATCCCCAACACCAACACTGGAAAGTGAGAAGTATCATCGCAGGCATTAGACTGGTTCCAAATATTAACATTTTTGAAAAGTCAATGTTATATCTACTGCTAGGAATACCTTACATTGCTATAAATCCTCTCATCCTAAGCATTTAATACAATACCCAAGAGCCTTTGAACTGACTCTTGCTCGTTTTGGGGGAGAAAGTGTTGTGGAAGAATATATTCTAGAATATTTACTGCAGTTAAAACTTCCTCCCACATCACAACCCACATTCTATTTGGATAAATTATTCCCAGCTCTTTCATTAAGATGCTGGAAGTCCACATTTTATAGAAAAGTCCATGAACGGGTTGGCACACTCACTCCCAACGTCAGTGGCTCCTGATACAATTTTGTCTTCGACTTCCCTGGCTATGCTTACCCTTTCTTTCCTTTAATACCATCCATTTTATAAATCAACCTTTGTAAAAAGTAAATGAAGATTGTTCTCATAAATGAATGACAAACACAGACTAACATATTTCTCCAGAAAGGCTTTCATTCCTGGGTACTGAGATCTTGCTATGCTTGTTGCCTCCTCTCTTGTCCTCACAATTCCATGTTCACCATGAACTCTTCATCTCATTCTCCTTCACTTCGAGGTTATGCACATTAGCCAGAGGTTTAGGGGTGCACCATCAACAGTTCAAACTTGGCCAGGTGCAGTGGCTCACACCTGTTATCTCAGCACTTTGGGAGGCCAAGGAGAGAGGACTGCCTGAGCCCTGGGCTTCAAGACCAGCCTGGGTAACATAGCAAGATCTCATCCATACAAAAAAATCAAAAAATTAGTTGGGCGTGGTGTCACACGCTTGTAGTCCCAGCTACTCAGGAGGCTGAAGCAGGAGGATCATCTGAACCTAGCAGGTTGAGGCTGCAGTGGCTGTGATTGTGCCACCGCACTCCAGCCTGGGTGACACAGTGAAACCCAGACTCAAAAAAAAAAAGAAAGTTCAAACTTGCCTTTTCATAGCTGGTCAATGCATTTTGTCTTTCACCCTCATGTCTCCTCCCTCTCCCGCCTTCTCGAATCCTTCCTTCACCTCCCATCATCTATCTTCACTTCCCCGGGCCATTTCCCATTTGTAAATGTCTTATGATCTCATATTCCTCGGACCGGCTCATGACTCCAACCCCTTCATTCATGGAATTGTCTTGCAGATTGCACCCTTACATGGGGGGCAGTACCTTCTGCCCTCTTGCTCACCCTCACCTTCCTGCCTCCCTGCTGCTGCCACTCTGTTTCCAAAGGAGTGATCATGATTTGAACCGGCAAGGTTGAATCTCCATCCCCTTCCATTTCTCCACTTAATATTTGAGATTCAGTTGTCATTCCAAGAGGGAAATCTCAGTTTACAGTTCTCCAGCCTTGTTATAGAAGCAATCAGACATACTGGGTCTCTTTTTCACTTAACGATGGATAACCCCAGGTGATGCCTTCTCAAATGAAATATTGCACAGTGAGCTGGTGTCAACCTCAGGTGTGTTGACCATGCTTTTACTCCTTTGGGAATGAAGCCTGTCTCCACAGTGAAAGGACACACTGGTATCTTATGAATCAATGTCAATAAGCCTTTTCTTTTAGGATCTAAAGTAAACCCCAGTTGGGCATGGTGGCTCATGCCTGTCATACCAGCACTTTGAGAGGTGGAGGCAAGAGGATTGTCTGTGCCCGGGGGCTCCAGACCAGCATGGGCAACTTGACAAGACCTCGTCTCCACAATAAAAAAATATTTTAAAATAGTTGGATGTGGTGGTGCTATTTGCTATCTGGCAAATAAGCAACAATATCATACCTATTTGGAAGGAGGCAGAAGGATCGCCTGAGCCCAGGAAGTCCAGCCTGCAGTAACCGTGATCATGCCACTGCACTCCAGCCTGGGCAACATAGTGAGACTTTGACTCAAAAAAAAAAAGAGAGAGAGAGAGAGATGCTAAAAATAACTCCAGTCTGATGGCCATCATCAATAACTCAAAAAACAACAGATGCTAGAGAGGATGCAGAGAAACAGAAACGCTTCTACACTGATGGTGGAAGTATAAATTAGTACAGCCTCATGGAAAACAATGTGGTGATTCCTAAAAGATCCAAAAATCAACCTCCCATACAACCCAGCAATCCCCCCTTCTGAGAATATACCTGGAGGAATTCAAATCACTCTATGAAAAAGATACCTGCACAAACATGTTTATTGCAACATCATTCACAATAGCAAAAACATGGAACCAACCATGCTGCCCATCGAAAGTAGGCTGGATAAAAAAACGTGGTACATATACATAATGGAATATTACACAGCCATAAAGGACAAAATTATGAACTTCTCAACAACTTGAATGGACTTAGAGTCAATAATACTCAGTGATTTATTACAGAACCAAAGAACTGAGTACCACATGTTCTCACTCACAAACAGACCCTAAATAATTTGCATAATACTATAAGAAAGGGATTTGCAGTAGTGGGAAACTGCCAGGGGAGGGAGTGTGAGGGAGCACACTTCATCAAGAAGGGTACCTGATCTCAAACCAGGTGAAGTGGGGACCAAAGTGAGGCCTGAACTTTACCTGTATAATAACCATTTGTATACCCTACCCTGAATGGCATTCCACATCTTTAAAATAAAAATTAAAAAAATAAAAATAAAGTAAACTCCTACATACATACCCTACTGTCACCAAATGTCCTGTTGTATCCAACCTCTGCCTAGAAGACCATAATTTTAGTTTTTAAATGTTTCTGCTAGTGTTTTGTTTTTGAACCTTCACAGGCTTTGAGGCCATTTTTCCTCTCTCTTAATCTTCCTTTCTTTCTCCTGAATTCTCAGGAGAATTACTTTTAACCAACACTGAAGCCTTTCCCTCTTTCCCTTATTTTCTCTACTGCAGGACTGTCCCTCCCCTAGGTACCTTCCAATTCCCACCTTCCTATGCACTGCAGGGATGGCTTCTCCCTCTGCTCAGTCCCACCTCTGCACTCACCTCCTCCCCTCTGTCACTTTATTTTACTCCATATACATACACTATTTCTGTCCCTGGCTGGGTCCAACAATTGGTATGGCTACTGAAGATCCCCCTGCCTGCCTCCCTGAACAGCCACATGACTGCCACGAGTCCCTCTGGTGCTGGCAGGCAACAGGCATCAGAGTCATCGACTTCATGAGTGAGAACACCACGGCAATGGACACCAATGTATTGACTGGAGGACAGCCTCATGGCATAAGGCTCAAGAAAGAACTAGGATGACGTCCCAAACTCTCTCACCTCTGACTGTTCATTCTTTAAGCCTATTGACATTCCCATTTCAGTACAGGCCTATAGTAGCTTTATATGGGAATGAGTAAACTGTCAATGGAGTCAGTAGTAGTCACTGAAACCTACACTCATTTCCATGTGATGATGACTTGACACTCACTCTACCTGGTCAGAGGGATAGGTTGCTTATGCAGTGGGAAATCCTGCTCCTTGAATGAACTACTATGAGTATGTTTCTTTGAAAAGAATTGGATTTTCCTTAGTTAATCCTTTTTTTAAATAATCCAAATTATCTACTCTTTTTTTTCTAAAACGTGACCCCTTACCCCTTCCATATTCTATTACAATTCACACACGATTTCTCTGGAGGGCACAATAGAATCTAATTTTCTTCATTATTCAATTTGGATCCTGTTAAGTGAGACAGGCATTCACTGACAAGAAGAACATTTAAATTTTGGCAAATAAGTTCATTAGTATTCCAAAAGCTTTGCACCCCTCATATTTAACAAACCTTTCCATTACAGAGTAAAAAATCCTGCAAAATAGTCTAACAAATTAGCAACAGGGCCACCAAGAGAGTACAGTCAACCCTGATTCAGAGATGTCTCTGTTTATCAGTTTTCTGCCAATCATTAAAACAAAAAAGGTGAAACATGCAATTATAGACAAGGAGACAGAACTCCTAGTTCTTCCATCCTAGCTGAAGCAGAAGAGTTTTAATTGCTTGGGAAAATAAGACTTGTGTTTTCTCTCTCAAGAGGGACAGAGGAAACAAACGTAAATTGCCTTAGAGTCCATGGCTGGAGCCATAAGGTCCTGACTATGCAAATGAGCAGTGGAAAGACCAGCCATCATCTGTACATTTTGTCCTCACAGTGGTCAATGTCCAGATACTTAGAAATGTGAGATGAGTGATGGTGTTTCCCTTTTGTTAGAATGTTTAGAGTCACGTAGATGTACCAATTCTGCTTCTGTATAATGGGAGTAACACTGCCCTAAAATACTACGACATGTTGTCAATTATTCCCAAGTTGATCTTCCATTTGTGGGAGTTTCTCAGGCTCTTGGTTTCTCTTCTAAGTTCTACCAGCCATTCGATTGTATGAGCCGTATGCTGTTTTTAATATATTTAACAAAGGGAAAGTAAAAACAAGAAGAGGAGATAAAATGCTAATCAACCCATTCAGTATTAATGCACATCTGCAAACATAAAGAAAGAGGAAAAAAGTAAAGCTCTTGGCCATAGAGAGGTGGAGACATGAGCTGGACATGTCTGTCTGTTACTGGACCTCAACTCGGAAGTAAAACTGAAAGTCAAGAGTTATTAATTCCACCATTTAAGCCAGAAATTAAAATCCTTAAAATTATTTCCCAGGATGAGATTCTCAAATGAAATAGTCTGCATTAGTAATTCTGAATTTAAAATTCCATTGATTCTTCCATGAAATATTCTCTGCATTCAGAGATATACATCAAATAGATTTGTTAATGATGGGAGAAAAATGAAGCAAGGTTTCATTTGGAGTCGCAATAAGGTAAGAATTCATAGCAACTTTTTTTGTCTGATTGATTAGTGTTTTCCTCTCTTTTTTCAAGAAGTTGCCAGCCTAACATAGGAGTCACAATAAGGTAAGAATTCATAGCAAGTTTTGTTTGTCTGATTAATTAGTGTTTTTCTCTCTTTTATCAAGAGGTTGCCAGCCACAGGGAATGTATGAAGCCCATGTATGAATGTATGGAAGATGTCTGTTCACTGAGAGGTAGCTGTTAAGTGTAGGAAGTATTCACCCAGATTCTCTCTACCTGGTCAGGGGTGGATTGCTGAGGACAGAGTAGTCAGGGGTCTTCATCATGTGGAAGATGGACTCGCTACAGGTTTATCCCAAAAAGTACAAGGTTGTTTCTTCCTTATACCTGAAGACATCTCTTTTCACAGTGCCCCTGGGCCTGAATGACTATCTGATGTGTATCTCAGGGCACTTCAAAATTGCTTGGGCAGAATGGGGCATCTATCTGTAGTTGATTACCCTGCGATACAGAGCCACCCCCTTTGACATGGCTGATGCTCTCCAAAGGAAAAGCCAGCAAATGAAGGAAAGGAGGTTTTTGTCCCCTCTCCTAGGAAAACTTCTGGAGTCTCAGAAAGTGCCAGATTCACCTTGTATCTGCAAATCTAGCACACACCTCATATGCAGCACATGGTATATGCATCACTGAAATGTGAGGAAGGAGTGAAGGAGAAAGAGAAGGAAGAAAGAATGAAGAAGGGAATAAAGCCCCTAAACTCTCTACAGGGTATATTGCTAGAATCTTCCTAACTCCAAAGGGGAGAAGCAGACTTCTTGTATCCTAAAATACTGATTAAACATCCCTCTGAAACACCAGCAGCCAGGTAACTATGAAGGTCTATTTGACCTAGCTGCTTAAGAATATGAGAGCTAGAAATTAGTCCGCTATAGCCTTGGACCTGACCTTAACAGGTGTTGAGCTAGGAGGGGTTTGGAGTGACTCAAGGGGCATCCAGGTGGAATGTGAAGTGATGTGCCCACAGTCAATATGTTAATATTAGAATAAAGTCTAAAATTCAGGTCTGAAAGTCCCTGCCCAGCAGTTTTCACACTGCAGTCTCCTACTTAGAACAGAAGCAACAGCTGGTTCCCAAATCCTGTCCCTTCCTGCTTCCTTACCCAAGCATCCTCTGCATTCTGCCTGTCCCTACTTTCTCCCCCTAAGGAATTCATCAAACCATTTCAATCCCACACATGATTCTCCCAAGAGAAGGACCAGTCAATGTATCTTCCTCTCCTTGTGTTTCCATGGAAGCATCAGTACATTTCTGAAATTTCAGTGCCTTTGTAGGTTAGTCCTCTGAGTGGTTTTCCAGCTGATCTGCCTTTAACCTGATGCTGATGACAGTCATTGCTTGAAACGAAGAGGACAATCTAGTTGATGCTCCTCTTCTCGGGGTGGACAGCCATCCACGAAGTCTTCTTGGTGAGTTCGAAGAGTTCAGCAACAGTAGCAAGAAGCAATGCAGGGAAAGGCCATGCTCCTCCCAAGGAGTAGGTTTCTGTCTCAGTAACTGCAAAATTATAAATCGAAGATTAAAAAGTTAAGCCACTACTCAAGTGAGGATCTCACTAAATACATGGATTAAACAAAGCTCGATGATGGATTCACTGGAGTCTAAATGAAGTCTGTGGTTTTCCAGGCAGTGGGACACAGATCGCAAAAACACACAAGGTGTGACTTGGAATCACTTTCCCTATTGTTGCTGTACCAAGGGAAAGGGCGAAACTATAATTGCACTTTAATACAAGTGAATCTCCATGCCAAAAGCATGTAGTATGAGTGGGCTAGGAAGGGGTATACTCTGGGAAGAGGAAAGCAAGATCAAATAATTCTTCATAGTACTATACAAGGCCGACCTGATTGGAATGGGAATGAGGGACCTGAGAGAGAGCTGAAGACATAATCATATCTGGGGGCAAACGCAGATTGAGGATCCTGTGAAAACTTAGAAGCACAGTCACTCAAAGTCACCCAAACCATATCTAGATCCTCAGCAGTCAACACGATGGATTCCCAAAGTCTTGAGCCAAGTAAGACAGATTGATAGTAATCTTGCCAGAAGGTAGTCTAGATGAAGCAACACTAGCTTTTGGCCTCCCAACCAGAAGCATCAAATGCCATGTGTCATTGCACCACTGTCAGGACCCTGGGCAAAATGTCAACTCAATGATTATCTTTTGCTGCCATCCTCTCCCTAGCTATATCCCTCCATCCCCTTCCTCAGGTTCCAGGAGCTCAGCAATTATCCATCTTCTCTGACTTCTCTAAGGCTATAGATAGCAGTTAAACAGAAAGTCTTCCAACTATTAGAGTTGACCATTTCATACTAGAGTACTAGCAGTGGTGACTTCAACGCTCCCATGAGGCATTTGCAATTCATAAATGGAGCTTGTATTAAAAAATAAATAAATAAACTTTTAATTATTGGAATGTGGGAAGAAGAGAGGGGAAGGGGACATGTGAGGGGAGGGTCTTCATGTGCTTCTTGTTCAATGCCACCACCATCCCACACCAACTGCCAAACCTTCAAACAGTGGGCATCAGCCACTTTACCCCCTGAAGACACTGGACAGCTGCAAACCCTGGTCTGAGAGGACCGTTCTGTTCTCAGGGCACACAGAAGAGATGGGTGCCATAGAGAAGCTTCCTGCAGATGTCAACAATCATGTCTGCAATCCCAGTGTCTCTCCTGGTCCAAATGCCTCACTTTACTAAGAAGCAGACTAAACGGTGAGTGGCTAGCCCAGGGCCACATAGGGGCTCAGTGAAAAGTAGAGCCAGGATTCAGCTGGGTCTCTGGAATCCCAGTACACAGTCCTGCCCAAGTAAAGCCTCATGACCACAACATATCATATGTGCTCCTGACACAGTCCAGAAGATCCTAGACCCTATTCCTCAGTTTCTAGCAGTATTTGAGTGGTGTCAGAGAAGTCATTTCCCCTTCCTAGACAACAGTTTGGTTCAGTGGGTCTGTGGCAAGGCACAGGAATCTGTTAATTAGCTTCTGGAGGACTCTAATCTTCCAGGTGTGGGAGCCACCTCTACACTTGGTCACCCCCTATCTATCAGCACCTTGCAGAGAACTAGATTTCCCTGCAGGGGTTGGTCTGAGGGCAGCCTCTGTAACCTTAATATCAAAGGGCTTCTGACCACTAGGTCAAAAGTCAGAGCCCTGAAAACAAACAACAGCCTTGAAATCTCAATCAAGGAATGCTTAGAATGAGCCAGAAAGGTCTCCACTTAGACCAGCAGACCTTAATGGCTTTGTGTCTGGCAACATCCCAGCAACGCCTTCAAGATTCCTGTCTAACCAATCTTCCAACATGTACTGAGCCCTAACTTTGTGTAAGACTGTGTGCAGGGGGGCTTAGATGAATAAAAAAAAAAGTCCTAGTTGTAAATAACCCACTAAGAAGAGAAGACACATACAACAAAATGAGCATCCACGTTGCAGAGTGATGTTGTTGACCATGAAATACAACAACGCAGATCAGTGTCATATAAGCACCTCATACAACTCAAAGATTTCCAAACCCACTTCCTGGCAGAATCATCGATGGTGGTTCCTAAACCCCCATCCTGTGGATTCTGATTCAGTGAGCCTGAGAAAGAGTCTGGAATCTGTATTTTTAACTACTGGTTGAACCCTATGCAGCCAGTTCATAGATCAGCATTTGAGATCCTTCTAATGCATTGAGAGCCAGGCCATGACGAATCCAAGGGAATGTGACATGGTTGCTTCATATAAGTGGTGTGCTCCTCCTCAAAATTCTTAACCTATGCCAATTGACCCCTAGAACTCAAGTCTGCTTGGTTTTATTCCTTTTAGGCAGTCTTGGCCTATGCTATCTTAATACCTCCTATATAGGGCCTCCATTGTGTTCCCAATAGGAATCTGTTTTCTGGAGAAGGGTGCAGCTTTATTCTTCAGGAACACACACAAGCCAAAAGTCCATGTACAGCCAAATACTGCATAATTCTGTTTATATAAGTACATAATTCTGTTTACAGAAAATGTCTCAAATAGGCAAATCCATAGAGCTAGAAGACAGATGAATGGTTGTCAAGGGCTAGGGAAGGTGGGATGTGGAACAACTGCAAATGGTGATGGAGTTTCTTTTTGGAGGTGATAAAGACATTCTGGAATTGGATAGTGGCAATGCTTGCAAAACTTTGTGACTGTACTAAAAACCACTGGATTATACACTTTTTTACATAAAAGTCTTTGGTTTTTAAAAGATGCAGGCACCAAGGAGATTGCTTTAACAGAGAACACAAGAAGAGAGACCACAGTAGAGGTATTTACAAGCAGACTGTTTCTGGCCTGTATCAAGCCACCCTTGACCTTGACACGTTGTACATTGCCTCCTCAAGCAGTGCTGTGAGACTGCGATTTAGGATTTGGGGTAAAAGTGACAGGGTGAGTCAGGACTAGTGAGGAGGGGCAGGGTATGAAGATTCTTGCTGCACACTTAAGAAGGTTAGACTTTATTCTACAGGCCAGGACAAGCCAAAAGCTTTGTTGTTTTGTTTTGTTTAAGAGGGGGAAAGGGACCAGATCAGAAAAGCATCTCTGAGCATGATATAAAGGTAGAATAGCTAGGATAGACAACCAGAGCAGTGCAAGCAACAGGGAGGAAACTGTAATTGTCAGCCCCAAACCAAGGCAGTAGCAATGGAGGCAACTTAAGTCAACTCACTGCAAAGACTTTCCCTGACCGATGATAGATCCGATAATAGAGTGTACACCTGCACTTGACTATATAGCTCTGATTGATGGCAGATACGTTTATAGCAAAAGAGTGTACACATGCACTCTATTATATAGCTCTGATCACTGATAGATCTGCTTATAGCAAAAGGGTGTACACGTGCACTCTACATATAACTCTGATCAATGATAGATCTGCTTATACCACAAGGTATACACATGCACTCCACTGCATAGTTCTGGTCCATGACAGATCTGCTTATAGCAAAAGGATTTACATAGGCATTCTACTATATAACTCTGCCCAATGATAGATCCACTTATGGGAAAGGGGTGTACATGGGCACTCTACTATATAGCTTTGATTGATGGCAGATCTGCTTATAGCAAAAGGGTGTACACATGTACTCTACTATACAGTTCTGATTGATGGCAGATCCACTTATAGCAAAGGGGTGTACATGTGCACTCTACTATATAGCTCTGATCAATGACAGACCTGCTTATAGCACAAGATGTACACAAGCAATCTACTATATAGCTAGATCATCAGTTGATAAAAAAAATACTATCATCATGAAGAGGGAGACTTTAGCAAAGCAAGGAATGGAGCTATGAGAGACATAGAGAGGGTTTCAGAATACTTGGAGACTGGGCTTGGCATATAAAAGGTCGAAAAAATGTTCTTGGCTTGGAAAGGGACAGCTTTAAATCTGCTTAGGAAAACAAACTCAAATAAAGGCAATAAAAGGGACACACATAAAGAAGTTAGGCATTAAGAAATTAAGAGGAAATATGGGAAACCAGCAGGGACAAAAACAACCAGGCAATGAAGAACATTGAGGGTCCCTAATGCTCAGATTCATGCAGAGGAGAGAGACCAGGGAAGACATTTCAAAATGATATTGTAATGCAGGCACCAAGGAGATTGCTTTAACAGAGACAGAATGTGAGAAGAGAGACCACAGTGGAGACTTTTACAAGGAATAAAAGAAGAAGACAAAAATATGGGAAAGGATTTTAGTGATTGGAGACCAACAGGAAAAGATGAGTCTTAGCGATGTCAGAAAGGAAAATATGACAGGATTTTGGAATATTCTCAGAGCGAAAATAAGGTCTAATCTGTAAAAAATACAAAGTTCTTTCTCCATGAGTGTTTCACAAGCAGCCCGGAGGAGAGCCAACAACAACAAGAAATCTGCATTCTGGGGGTGGAGGAGGAGAACGCATTACCAGAAAGTCCTGAAAGTGAAGGCAGTGGAGACCTGAGACCTTGTCAGGCTTGGTTTTCATTGGTTGTAACATCACCCAAGAAGAAAAAAGTGTTCCACAGAACAGACTTTTCCAGAGACAACCTTGTAATGACTCGAAGCATTCTGGGAGAACTGCAGTGTGCAAGAAGCTGAAGGGAGAAGCCTTTGCTCTATACATGGTTCAGGGATAAAAAGACCACAATAACAGTAACAAAACATCCTGTTTAAATATATCAAGCTGGACATGAAAGGGGAAGAAATACAAGGAGGTAGGAGGAGGTAGCATCACTGACAGCAGCAGGAACGGACTGTCACAAGTACGTTGTGTGATGCCTGCCATCTTCCCTGTGGTATTCCATCCAAGTCCCCCAGCAGATGGGCAAAATTGCCCCATTTTGTAGAAGATACTTGTGGAGGCTACATAAGATTGGTAACCTGCAGAGTCACATAGATTGTATGTTTTAGAGCCAAGTCTTTTGGGGCTCCCAAGCTTATGAATTTTTCATCACACCACATGGGGGGCTGTGGGTCCTCTTCCACCTGGGT